TCGGGGGCCGGGAGGCAGCCCGGCCTGGAGGCCCCTGCCCCGACGCCCCCTCCCCCCCGCTCCCCAGGGTTTGGGACGTCCCGGGACCCGAGGGCGAGGCGGGCTCCTCCCCCGCGCAGCCGGAGGAGACCCCGGCCCCGGAGATGGAGCCAGCGCCGCGCCGCCCCCCACAGTGCGAGCCAGCACTCACCGTCCCCCGCGGACCAGCCGCCCCGCGCCGCCGGCTCCTCCCAACGCGCCCGCTCCCCCGGCGGGGCTGCCCGGCTGGCTTGCCGCCCGCTCTCCCGCGTTCGAAGGATGATGATTTGCGAACGAACTTTATGGACAGCGCGGGCACAGTCACAGAGGCTCAGCGGCAGCTCCGCCAGAGACCGCGGGGCGCGGGAGTCGCGAATCTCCGCATCTGTGTGGACCCGCCGCGCTGCGGCGCATGCGCAGGGCTTCGTTCGCGCCGGGCTTCGTCTGCGCATGCTCCGCGAGGAAACGGCCCACGGCCCCGCCCCTGCTCCCGGCGCCTCGGGGTACCACCGGTGTGCGGTAGGGAGGCCAGGCGCGAGCGGGAGCTCTGAGCTAGAGGACCCTAGAAAAGAGCAGTCGACCAAAGAAGGCACGCATAAGTTTCGCCTGCAGAATCATAAGACTAACAGAGTCCCCGAAGGATTTGCTCTGCCGCAGGCAGCCGGCTACCTTATTTTCCTGACCAGATGACATCTTGAGGGACAGAACAAGCAAAACTGTCGAGCAAAGTCGAACACGCGTTCACACGGCCTGCAGCATTTGGCTGGACAAAGTAGAAGCGGGAGACGGCTAATAATTCAAAGAACCAAACCAGAAACCAAAAAGTCCCGCAAAAAATCAGTCTCAACTTTGCTTCGGTTGTTTTTATCTTTCAAAATAAAACAGAAAAAAAAGACATGGAAAACACCAAGTGCTGGTGAGGATGTGAAGTAACTGAAACTTCTACTCCCCTGCTGGGATGTAAACTGGGACAACTCCTTCGAAACTACTTATACAGCCAAAAGAAATGCATACTGAGGGTGCACCGACAGACAGGTATCAGACTGTTCATAGCTGTATCTGTTGCAATCGCTCCCAAATAGGAAAACCCAAAAGACCATCAATAATAGAATACATAAGTAAATTTGCACAGTATTCGTATAATGGAATGCTATACAGCAATGCAAAAAACCATCTGGAATTCCAGACAGCAAAATTAAAAATAGAATTACCATATGATTAAGCAATTCCCCTTCTAGGTATATCCCCAAAATAATTGAAAGCAGGGACACAAAAAGGTCAGCCTGTAATCCCGCGCCTTGGGAGGCTGAGGTGAGTGTATTGCCTGAGCCCGTGGGTTCGAAACCTGCCTGGGCAACTTGGCAAGACCTCATCTCTACAATAAATCAAAAACTAGCCGGGCGTGGTAGCGCGCGCCTGTAGTTCCAGCTACTTGTAAGGCTGAGACGGAAGGATCGCCGGAGCCCAGCAAGTCGAGGCTGTGGTGGCCCGGAGCGGCCGCTGCACTCCAGTCTGGGCGACTGAGTGAGACTCCAACTCAAAAACAACAAAAAAAAAGATATTTGCACAACCTTGTTTATAGCAACATTATTAACAATAGCCGGGCTCGGTGGTTCAGCCTGTAATCCCGCTCCTTGGGAGGCTGAGGTGAGTGGATTGCCTGAGCCCGCGGGTTCGAGACCCACCTGGGCAACTTGGCGAGACCTCATCTCTACAATAAATCAAAAAATTAGCCGGGCGTGGTAGCGCGCGCCTGTAGTTCCAGCTACTTGGAAGGCTGAGGCGGTAGGATGGTCGGAGCCCAGCAGGCTGCGGTGACCAGGAGCGTGCCACTGCACTCCAGTCTGGGCGACTGAGTGAGACTCCAACTCAAAAACAACAAAAAAAAAGATATTTGCACAACCTTGTTTATAGCAACATTATTAACAATAGCCGGGCTCGGTGGTTCAGCCTGTAATCCCGCTCCTTGGGAGGCTGAGGTGAGTGGATTGCCTGAGCCCGCGGGTTCGAGACCCACCTGGGCAACTTGGCGAGACCTCATCTCTACAATAAATCAAAAAATTAGCCGGGCGTGGTAGCGCGCGCCTGTAGTTCCAGCTACTTGGAAGGCTGAGGCGGTAGGATGGTCGGAGCCCAGCAGGCTGCGGTGACCAGGAGCGTGCCACTGCACTCCAGTCTGGGCGACTGAGTGAGACTCCAACTCAAAAACAACAAAAAAAAAGATATTTGCACAACCTTGTTTATAGCAACATTATTAACAATAGCCGGGCTCGGTGGTTCAGCCTGTAATCCCGCTCCTTGGGAGGCTGAGGTGAGTGGATTGCCTGAGCCCGCGGGTTCGAGACCCACCTGGGCAACTTGGCGAGACCTCATCTCTACAATAAATCAAAAAATTAGCCGGGCGTGGTAGCGCGCGCCTGTAGTTCCAGCTACTTGGAAGGCTGAGGCGGTAGGATGGTCGGAGCCCAGCAGGCTGCGGTGACCAGGAGCGTGCCACTGCACTCCAGTCTGGGCGACTGAGTGAGACTCCAACTCAAAAACAACAAAAAAAAAGATATTTGCACAACCTTGTTTATAGCAACATTATTAACAATAGCCGGGCTCGGTGGTTCAGCCTGTAATCCCGCTCCTTGGGAGGCTGAGGTGAGTGGATTGCCTGAGCCCGCGGGTTCGAGACCCACCTGGGCAACTTGGCGAGACCTCATCTCTACAATAAATCAAAAAATTAGCCGGGCGTGGTAGCGCGCGCCTGTAGTTCCAGCTACTTGGAAGGCTGAGGCGGTAGGATGGTCGGAGCCCAGCAGGCTGCGGTGACCAGGAGCGTGCCACTGCACTCCAGTCTGGGCGACTGAGTGAGACTCCAACTCAAAAACAACAAAAAAAAAGATATTTGCACAACCTTGTTTATAGCAACATTATTAACAATAGCCGGGCTCGGTGGTTCAGCCTGTAATCCCGCTCCTTGGGAGGCTGAGGTGAGTGGATTGCCTGAGCCCGCGGGTTCGAGACCCACCTGGGCAACTTGGCGAGACCTCATCTCTACAATAAATCAAAAAATTAGCCGGGCGTGGTAGCGCGCGCCTGTAGTTCCAGCTACTTGGAAGGCTGAGGCGGTAGGATGGTCGGAGCCCAGCAGGCTGCGGTGACCAGGAGCGTGCCACTGCACTCCAGTCTGGGCGACTGAGTGAGACTCCAACTCAAAAAACAAACAAACAAACAACAACAACAACAACAAAAACAATAGCCCAAAGGTGGAAGCAACCCAAGTGTCCATCAATAGATTAATGAATGAACAAAATGTAGTATACACATAAAATGGCATATTATTCAACATTGAAAAAGGAGGGAGCTGGGCATACTGGTGTATATCTGTAGTCTCAGCTACTCAGGAAGCTGAGGTGGGAGGATTGCTTGAGCCCAGGAGTTGGAGACAAAGCCTGGGTTACATAGCAAGACCCTGCCTGGAAAAAAAAAGATGGGGAAGAATCCTGACACATGCTAAAATGTAAATGAACATTGAAGACATTATGCCAAGTAAAATAAGCCAGTCACAAAAGGACAAATGCTATCTGATTAAACTTATATGAGGGTGAGTGCAGTGGCTCACACCTGTGATCCTAGCATTTTGGGAGTCTGAGGCAGCAGGACTGCTTGAGCCCAGGAGTTAGAGACCAGTCTGGGCAACATAGCAAAACTTCATCTCTATAAAAAAATCAAAAAATTAGCTGGGTGTGGTGGCATGTACCTGTAGTCCCAGCTACTCAGGAGGCTGAGGCGGAAGGATTGCCTGAGTTCAGGAATAGAGGCTGCTGTGAGCCGTGATCTTCATGATCATGCCACTGCACTCCAGCCTGGATTACAGAGTGAGACCTGGAAAGGAAGGAAGGAAGGAAAAAGAAAGAAAGGAAGGAAGGAAAGAAAAGAAAATTTATGTAAGGTACCTAGAGTAATCAAGTTCATAGTGGCAGAGAGTAGATTGGTGTTTGCAAGAGGCTGGGGGGAGGGGTGAAGGGGGAGTTAGTTTTCTATTCATATAGTTTCAGTTTTGCAAGATGAAAAAAGTTCTGGAGATGAATGGTAGTGATGGTTGCACAACAGTGTGAATGTACTTTATGCACTTGAACCATACACTTAAAATGGTTAAAATGGTAACCTTTATGTTTTCTGTATATTGTACATTTTTTTTAATGGTTTAAAAAAAAAAAGAAAATCCTAGAGGGTCTCAGAATATTTCTCAGAAGGCAAGTTTGAGAAAAACTTTCTGAACAGGCTCCCCCAAAATCATTTATTTCCTTTCCCCTCCCCCCTTTTCCATTTCCTTGGGTTTGTTGAACACTGAAGGGGATTCAGAATTTGCTTCCCCAAAATATGCAACTTTGGCATGAGGATTATTTTGAGCTGAAGGCAATTAAGAAACAGTAGACACAAGAGGAACTTTCTGCTTTTCCCCTTTCTGCCTAAAAATGGCATAAATTTCCCTTTGTGAAGGTGCCCTTCCCTGCCTCCACCCCCCCCCACACCTCTCTTACCTCTTTCACCTTTCCACAGGAAGAGGAAACAACTCATCACTGAGCACCAACTTGAGTCTGTATAACAAACCTTGCAAATTAACCCTTATCTTCCATTAATTTCTCTCATATATTTACCTACCCACAATTTATCATCTCCAAAAGCACAACCTCTTTTTCTTTGTCTTGTCATTTCTCCACAATTTATCACCCTTTGAAAAAATGGTATACAATCTTTCAGTCCTAAGTGCTTTGGGGGTTTTTACTTCTGTTCTGTGAGCTCCCCCCTGCCCCCCATGTACATATAAAACAAACCTTTTTTCTGTTTATCTGTAAATTGCCAACGTAATTTGCAGGCTCCTATTACTGAACCTACAGTGGTAGAGGAAAAGTTTTTTCCTCCACTACATACAGTCTCAGTGCATTTGAGATCCACCTTTTATTTGACTTAAGTCTGCACCCAAGGACAAAGCAGAGATTCTCTTCCTCTTACTGAAGGCAGCAAGATAATGAAAGCCTACATAGAAACCTAGTCTTTTAATCATGTGGGTGGACCAGGTGCAGTGGTTCATGCCTGTAATCCCAGCACTTTGGGAGATCAAGGCAGGAGGCTGGCTTGATGCCAGGAGTTCAAGACCAGCCTGGACTACATAGCAAGAATTTGTTTCTACAAAAAATCAAAAAATTAGCAGGACATGATGGCACACACCTGTAGTCCCAGCTACTTGGGAGGCTGAGGCAGAAGGATTGCTTGAGCCTAGGAGTTTGAGGCTGTGTTGAGCCATGACTGTGCCACTACACTCCTGCCTGGGCAACAAAGCAAGACCCTGACTCCAATCAATCCATCAATCATGTTGTTGTGCTGAAGTAGAAATGACAATAGGAGTCGGGCTCGGTGGCTCAGCCTGTA